TTTTTTTTTTTTTTGTTCCCTTATTTCTGTAATTTTAATTATGTTATTTTTGTATTTATTTTTATTTCCCCTTTTATTTTTATTTTCATTCTATCTTGTTAATTTACAGTGTAAGTGCAAAGGCTGGCCAGAGTGGCGGCGGCGAGGACACGGATCCATCTCGTGGAGGAAGCGACAGCCGCGCGAACGATCGAAGATCTAGAGACCGTTTGCTGCGAATGTGGCCCGATTTTTTCCCGCGAGGAAGGTGATGCGCGCAAAGCAACAAGCGCGTTGGGCGATCGGCCGCACACGTTGAGCGAGACGATACGACCGGAGCAACTGGAAAGAGAGTTTGATTGTCTTAATTTATAAGAAGGGTTCTCGGGAAGACTTCACTAACTAGCGGGCCCATTGCGATGGGCAATGTCGTTGTTAGACTGCTCGCCGTCTCAGCCCGGCCCAGAAGGACTTCCTGCCGCATGAGGGATGCCTGGAACACTTCTTCATGCTGCAGCGTATGATGGAATGCGCTCGATGCTTGACGAGAATAAAAGTTTAATTATCTGTTCTTATCAGCTTAATATCTGATGTATAGAAGAGTCAGAATATTAATTTGATTTTTAAGAATCGGCGGAATTGGCGAGGCTCGTCCGTCCTCTGTCACAGATTGGTCAGGTATTGCAATGTCATTGGGAACAGCTCAATCTGTGTTTCCTAAAAATCAGTCTCTATTTGGACTCCGTCGTGCGAGTTTTAAATAAAGCCTAGTTCGATTCTTTGGCGAGTGGTGCATAGCCATGGGCGACCAGACAACGATGGCGGACTTTTCGACCAGCTAGCGGCAGGCAGCACATACCCTATCCAGGGAATTTGTAAGTGCTTTTCGTGCCTGTATTTGATAATTATTGTACATTTATATCGTAGTTTAGTAATTTAATTCCCGCGCGATACGGGAAGAGTCTCGAGGATATAGAAGCAGCCTTGCATTGTCTTTTTCGCGATAGACATTTTGCTATTGGTACGCGCTATATATATATATTATCTTATAATTATTCTAATTGGTTTTATTCATTTCATCCACTGGCTCATAGAAAGCCGATAGGATTTATATTTTACTGAATTCGCTAGACAATTCGCTAGAATACGGAGGCATCCAGTCATCCATTAACATATAAAGCAGCGTATCGTATCAGTCAGCTAATCGTTTGCTCCTTTTTTAACCGATATTTTATTTTATTCTTTGTATAATATTCTATATTTAATTTTTTGTACAATTCGAGCGTGCGCAAGCGTGAATCCTTTTCAATCGCATTCAACCGTAGATAACCGATCAGAGGTATCTATCGTAAACACATCGTGGTACCTTTGCCCGAAAATATTAATATAGCCTCGCTTTAATTTATATTAAATCTACTTATTAAATCTACTTATTAAATCTATTTATTTTATTTTATTCTTATCTCAATTTAAATGATAGTCCATGACGGTACATCTTTTATTTATTTATTGAGTTATTTTATTTATTCTTATTTATTTTATTTATTCTTATTCTTATTTATCGATAATTATTTATTCATTTTATATTTTACGAGCGTCAGTATGTGCTGGACTGTAATCTCAGTCTCCTGATGGCAAAATCGTTAATTTAATATACACTAAATCGGGACTAATCTTCGCGATCGACAGTCCCAAATACTCGTCTTTAACGATAACGAATCGGCACAAAGGTATTTACCGAACACAGCTTGCGGTGTACCTTGGATATTATTGTATACCCGCCGTCTACCTCACCGATTGAAATTAGCATCGAAATTTTGAGAAATATACAAACTAATACGTCAGGGCTCCGATCAATGTCGTATTTTATATAATTTCGTTTTTCTGATAAGCGATAAATGATACGTTTTTACTCTGCGTCACTTAATTTCATTTATTTCCGACCGTATTTATTTTATTTCATTTATTTTACCTAGTTTTGTTTATCTATTTATTTATACTTTACCGTATTTCATTTATATTTTATTTATTCATTTGTTATTTTACCGTCTTTACTGAATTTTATTTTTTGACCGCATATATTCTTTACTTGACCGACTTCTATTTATTTAACACTTTTTTTGTTGTTTTTATTTTCTATTTATTTTATTTATTTCATTGTATCGCTGAGCCAGTCCCCGTTACAATTAATTAGATTTAAATAAGATAAGTGCAAAGAAGAAAGCCCGCGTGGACAATGCCAATATTCCGGAGATTTTTAATTCTTTCGTTACCACGGGCGATTAAAATTGCTTGCCACAAAATGTTCTTCACATACAACGAGCGACAAAGTTTATTATGAAAATTGTTAGTAATATAATTGTTTTTTAAATATTATTATTCACGAACATTTATCTCAATGCCTAATTAAAGCTAATTAACAAAGTAAAAATGTTTTTGTTTCAAGTACAAAACCATTTTCTATTAAAAATATTATGAAAGCAAATCTCTGAGGCGTTATAAGCAAACTCGAAACGCTAAAGACCGCTTGCGCTTAAACTGTACATTTATAGCATAGTGGTCGCTTCAGCAAAAATAGCCAGATCCGCAGTAGCGAAAAGATTAAAAACCTTTACTGTTATATAGGACGATCTACCGCCTTGAAAAATGGCGCGGGAAAAATGTAGAGACACTCGAATATTACTATCTTTCCGCTTGGACGATATAAGCCTGCGGAGTTTGCGAATACCGCAATTCTAGCACATACGCGCTGAAAAATGTGTGAACGATTGTCATGCGAATGCAGGCACGTCGACGTCAGAGGTACAGGCTTGGGTCAAAAACGTCAGAGACTTCCCGCGGGTCGAGAACGTTTCTTTAGCTATTCGAATCACAAGGAAATTCGACCGTCGAGAAATAGTCCACGAAAAAGATCTGCTGGCTAATAACGTACGACGATGTCGTTAGATACCTATCAGATTCTCTTAAACAATAAATCGGAGAACAAAGTTCGAACAATGGAATTGTACTTTATATTACAAAGTATCGAATTTTGCGGAGATTAAAGCGTGTCCGAATTAAAGACGTAGATAGATAATAAAATGATTTTCTATTCTCAAAACTACATTCTTTATTTTTTAGATATCTATTTTTTAGACTAAAAAATGCTATTTCTTAATATCCAATCTAAAAAAAAAATCATCAAATAAGTATTGTATAACATGTTGTAAATAAATAAATCTTTTTTAATCAGAACGTTTAATAATAAATGTTTAATATAAAGAATGTTTAATACCTTGATGTTGATGGTTTAAATAGCAAATAAAATCAACATTAAAATGACATTTGATCAATTAATCAATAAATATTAACTACACTGTTACAATTCATATTTGCCACGTTAAAATTTCCGT